GTGGGGGGTGCCAGGAGCAGGGTGGGGACCCCCGGTGCCAACAGAGCCAAAATGGGGGCGGTGGGATCCAGCTGCTCCCCCTCCCCCGGCACTGGGAGCAGCGCTGGTGGTGTGGACCCCCCCAAAATGCTCTGACCCCCCCCAAAAAACCCGCAGGGGAGCAGCCCAGGCTCTGAGCAGAGCCCCCCCGGGGGTCCCGGGGGTCCCCCTCCCTCGCGGCTGCGTTTCCATAGGAAAGCCAAGCTCCTTGGGGACAGTCCATGGGGAAGGGACAGCGGGGACATCCCCGGCAGGGGACACGCGGCGACATCCCCACCGCGGATCCGGGATGGGGTTTGGCACTTGATCCCCTCTGGGGACAGAGCTGGGCTCGGGGGGGCTTCGGGGCGGGGGTAAAATCACCAAATTGACCATTAAATTAAGAAACTTCCTGTTTTCTGTCCCAATCCTTTGTGGATTTTGGGCTGGGGGGGTTGGGGGCAGCTCATAGTGCTTCACAGGGTTATTAAAATACAAATGCTTAAAGTTTCCTATATAAAAATATACAAATGCAAAAATAGATATCGAGAGAGAGAGCCGGGGGGGGCTGGGGGGGCCGGGCCCTGCGCCCCCTCCCCGGGGAGCTTCTGCTGCCTTTCCTTTTTTTTTTTTGCGTGTATTTTACAAAAAAAAAAAAAAAAACCAAACCAAAAAAATCAAAAAAAAACACCAAATCAAACCAAGATTCCCGCTTCCTGCCGGCTGCCGGAGCTGGGGATGGGGACGGGGCAGCTCCAGTCCCGGGGCTGTCCCGAGAGACCCGGCACCGCCCCGGGCTCTCGGCTCTGCCGGAGCTTCTCCCGGGACAGCGGGGAGCGGGACCAGGAACGGGGCTGGCCCGGGTGGGGAGCACTGGGGCGGTGCGGGGGGGCCACGCTCCGAGCCCGGGAGGGGCCACGGCCCGATGTCCCGTGGGAACGGCCCGGGACAGGGGGGAATAGCCCGGGACAGGGGGGAACGGCCCGGGACAGGGGGGAACGGCCCGGGACAGGGGGGAACGGCTCGGGACAGGGGGGAATAGCCCAGCCCGGGTCAGGGGGGAACGGCCCGGGACAGGGGGGAATAGCCCAGCCCGGGTCAGGTGGGATTCATGGATCAGCTGTGATCCTGGGGGGTCCCCTCTGCACCCCCAGAATCAGAAGGGGTCACGCCCCGAGCCCGGAATGGCAGCAGGGCAGCTGTGGGTCAGCTCCAGAGCCCGGGGTCCTGCAGGGCCCCGCTGGGCTCACCCCAAAGCTGCTGCTCGGGAACAATCCCAGGTTTCCTTCTGGGGATCCACTCTCTGTACCCCCAGCCCCGTCTGGAGCCAGGCACGGCGGGATGTGGCTGGGGCAGGAAGAGGAGGGTGTGGGAGGAAGAACGGAAGGGACCGAGCCCTCCCACGGCGGGAAGAGCAGGATCCTGGAAAACCTTTTTTGGGGTATTTTTTTTCCCCAAGCTGCCCTATTCCCAGCACCCTTTTTTTTGTCAGGAGCCACCTCCAGCAGTGCCACAACTAAACCCTCGAGTGTCCCTCGTGTCCCTGCGGTGCTGTCCCCTCGCTCCAGACCGGCTGAGCTCCGCAGATTCTCCTTTTTCCCCATTATTACTATTATTATTAATTCCAACGCTGGCTGCAATTAAAAAAATCATCTTTTCCCCCCCGAGGAGGCTCCAGTTGTCCCCCCAGGGCTGCATTCCCAGCCCCTCTGTCCACGACCTTCCCATGGAGCAACTCCACTCCCACGGGACGGGGAGCCTTGCCAAGAAAACGGCTGGAAAAAACCAAGATCCAAGAAAAAAAATAAAAACAACACCTGCCAAGGCAGGGGAGGGCAGTGGGAGTCCAAGGGTGAAAAATCCAGCGGGATCTCCCCCCAGAATGCCAAAGGAATTACAGAGTCACCTCAAAGCAAAGCGCCGACAGCCCGGGGAGGGTTTAGGGATTCTGGTGGGGGATGGGATCGGGGAGGGAGGGAGGGAGGGAAGGAGAGCTCGGGCATCGTCCGGCGCGCCCCAGAGGGGCCGACCTGCTCCAGGATAAGGCATCAAAGGGACCACGCCATGGTCACAGCAACATCTCTCCTCTCTCAAACGAACACATTTTATATTTTTATATATATAATAATAATATAGAATCTTTTCTCTTCAAAAAAAAAAAAATCAAGCCGAAATTAAAAAATATATATATATAGCTCTGGCCTTCGAGTGGTGCGGGCGCGTGCCGGCGGCGCTGGCGGCTCCGCGGCCGCGCTCAGAAGCCGTTGCCGCTGATGTTGATGGACTGCAGGTCGGCCACCTGCATGACGTTGATGCCGCTGCTGGCCAGGCGGGCGATGCCCTCGGGGCAGATGGCCTCCATGGCCACCATGTTGGTGGCGATGAGCGCCGAGGGCGCGGCGCCGCCGTTGCCCTCGGCCGAGGCCGCCGTGTCCATGGGGACGGCCGAGACGTTCATGGCCACGCTGCCGGCGCCTCCCTTCTTGTTCTGGTGGGTCTTGATGTGCTTGGAGAGGTGGTCGCTGCGCATGAAGCGTTTGGGGCACTCCGGGCAGGCGAACTTCTTCTCTCCTGGGGGAGGGAGAGGGGTGTCAGGGACGGGGAGAAGGCTGGGATTTGGGAAGGGGCTCCTGCCCGTGAGAGGGGCAGGAGTGAAGGCCTGAAGGCCAATGCTCCAGGACACTGGAATTTTGGGAAAAGGTCCCTTCCCATGAGCATGCTCAGGCTATGGAGGAGCTCTCAGCCCAGGAGCTCAAGGCCAGTGCTCCAGGACATTGGAATTTTGGGAAAAGGTCCCTTCCCATGAGCATGCTCAGGCTCTGGAGCAGCTCTCAGCCCATGAGCTCAAAGCCAATGCTCCAAGACATTGGAATTTTGGGAAAAGGCTGGGACCTTGGGAAAAGGAAAAGGTTCCTCCCCATGAGCATGCTCAGGTTCTGGAGGAGCTCTCAGCCCATGAGCTCAAAGCCAATGCTGCAAGACATTGGAATTTTGGGAAAAAGTCCCTTCCCATGAGCATGCTCAGGATCTAGAGGAGCTCTCAGCCCATGAGCTCAAGGCCAATGCTCCAGGACCCTGGAATTTTGGGAAAAGGTCCCTCCCCACGAGAATGCTCAGACTCTGGAGGAGCTCTCAGCCCAAGAACCCAAAGCCCACCCTCCAGGACGCTGGGATTTCAGCTCGGGGAGCCCCAGGAGTCAGAGCAGCCCCCGGAGCAGCGCAGCCCCACCTGTGTGCGTGCGCTTGTGCCGCTGCAGCTCGTCGGAGCGGGTGAAGCGCTTCCCGCACAGCACCCAGGTGCAGATGAAGGGCCTCTCCCCCGTGTGCCACCGCAGGTGCGCCCGCAGGTGCGAGGTCTTCCCGTACACCTTCCCGCAGCCCGGCACGTGGCAGATGTGCTGCTTTTTTTTCCCTGGATCCCCAGAGCTCCTGCAAGAAGGGAAGGGTTAAACACGAGGGGATTTCAGGTGATACAGCCTTGGGGGGAATCTGCTGGATTAGGACCTGTGGGGTTGATGGGTGTGGGGTGAGGCTCAGCCAGGTTTGGGGTGAGGCTCAGCCAGGTTTGGGGTGACATTCAGCCAGGCTTGGGGTGAGGTTCAGCCAGGTGTGGGGTGACATTCAGCCAGGTTTGGGGTGAGGTTCAGCCAGGTTTGGGGTGACATTCAGCCAGGCTTGGGGTGAGGTTCAGCCAGGTGTGGGGTTAGGTTCAGCCAGGTTTGGGGTGACATTCAGCCAGGTTTGGGGTGAGGTTCAGCCAGGTTTGGCAGCCAGGTTTGGGGTGACATTCAGCCAGGCTTGGGGTGAGGTTCAGCCAGGTTTGGGGTGACATTCAGCCAGGCTTGGGGTGACATTCAGCCAGGTTTGGAGTGACGTTCAGCCAGGTTTGGGGTGACATTCAGCCAGGTTTGGGGTGAGGTTCAGCCAGGTTTGGGGTGACATTCAGCCAGGCTTGGGGTGAGGTTCAGCCAGGTGTGGGGTTAGGTTCAGCCAGGTTTGGGGTGACGTTCAGCCAGGTCCTGAGCCAGGTCCTGCCCCTGGCTCACAACAGCCCCACAGGACACGGGGAATTGGGGCTAGAAAGCTGGGACAGGAGCTGGGGGTGCCCAGGTGGCCACGTGGATGTGGCACTTGGGGACATGGGTGGCCTTGCCAGGGCTGGGGGAACAGCTGGAGCTGATGATCTCAGGGACCCTTCCCAACCCAAAGAATTCCACAAAACCAGGCACTCTGGGGGTGCTCCTGGTGCCAGGCCCGTGGGCAGCAGCCTCACCTGCCCTCTCCTTCCTTGCAGTAGGGACAGGTGCAGGCTTCCCTCCGCGTTTTCCGGCCCTGCTGGGGCTGGGGGTCGGGGCTGGTCTCCCCCTCCTCCACGGCCGCGCTCTCGTCGCCCAGCCCGTCGCCGCTGCTGCCGTGCAGCCCCAGCTGGGCCCCGTGCTCACCTGCAAGGCAACGAGGGGGGTCACAGCAGGCTCCCCTCCTGCAAAGGAGGGTCTCCTCTGCCGGATGGAGCGTGATTCCCACCCTTTTCCCTCGGCTTTCCTGACATTCCCCAGCCTGGGGCTCTCCCTGGCCTCCCCAGCCCCTGGGCTTCACACATTTTGGTCCAGGTCTTTAATTTATTTCCAGGGACTGTGATTCCAGCCCCAAATCTGCCTTTTTCACACCAGTTTCCTCACACAAAGGACATGCCATCACCTCAGTGTGGCAGGTTTGAGATAAATTCACCTTTTCCCAGCAATTTTCTCACGAGGAATCCGATTTCTGTGACCCGAGTGTGGCAAGTTTGAGACAAGCACGCCTGGACTTTTATCTCATTCCAGGGTTGCTCTCCCAAGGCTGAGAAATGAAGCCCCAGGTGGGAATTATTCCCAAAAAACCCATCTGGGGCTTTTCCTGGTGCTGTCTCCAGCAGCTCCAGTGAGGATGAGGTGACAGGAAGGTCAGTGGGGGCATCCTGGGGCTGCTGGTCACTCACTGCATCCCCTCTGCCCTTTTCAAACCTTTGGCATTCCCAAACCCCAGCCCACGATCCTTCTGGGAAGCCCTGCTGAGACCAGCACCTCGGCCAAGCACGGAAATTTCCTTTACAATCCTGGTTTTCCACACAGGAGCTCCGAGGCAGGAGCCAGGGAGGAGGACAAATTTCAAATCCCCTGTGAGGCGCAGGCTGGGCGCTCCTGGAGGTGCCAGGAGGGAGTTTCACAACCCGGAGACGGCGCTGGGAATGAGGAAGAATTCCTGGCAAGAACAATTCCCCAGTCCCTGGTGGTGCCAGTGCCAGCAGGCGTCAGTGGTGCCTGGGCAAAGCTCCACGGAGGGACAGGAGCCACCAGAACGGGTCCTGGGGCTCACGAGGGACAGGAGCCAGCAGGAAAGTGAAGAAATCATCCCTAAAATCCAAGCTGAAGCCTCCCAGCACAGCCTGAGGCCGTGCCCCTGTCCTGAGGCAGGAGCAGACTGGGGGGTTCGCTGCCCCCCAGCCCACAGGGATCCAGATTCCCTGGGAAAGGCAGAGCTGCCTGTGGGGGACACCCGGAGCTCCAAGCACCCCCAGGAGCAGAGCCTGGCCCTGCCACGCTGGGGACAGGGCAGGAGCAGCCAGGATGTCACCAGGGGCTGTCAGCTGGCACATAAACCCCAAGGACTGTCCCTTCATCCAGCCTGGGACCAGCCCTGGGCTCTGCCCCTCACCCTGGGAGCAGGGCAATGCTGTCCCAGCCAGGCCTGCAGGAGGAAATTGTCCCCTCCAAAGGTGACACGATTTGAAGCCCGGCCCTCGGCGCCACATTCCCGAGCTCCCTGCCAAGCTGAGGATTTCAGGAGCTTCCCAGTCCCTCCCTGCAGCTCCTGTGACGTGTCTGCAGTCACAGCCTGCACGCAGCGAGCCTGGGAGGGGTTTTTAAGCTTCCTAAGCCACAGCCGACAGCTTTGTGCTCCAGCCACGGATTAGAGATTTCCCCGGATGGGAAGAGCTGCTGGGGAAAAAAAAAATAATAAAAGCAAGAAAAAAAAGCCAAAAAAAAAAAAAAAAAAAAAAAAAAAACAAAAAAAAAAAAAAAAAAAAGACAAGAGAAAACACAACTGTCCCCAAAAAAATCCCAAACCAGGAGAAAACACAAGTTCTTTCCCCAGAAATACAGCAGGGAGGGGGAGAATCCAACCAGGATGCCTTGGAATGGCTTCAATCCTTCGAGAGGCAAAAGCCTACGTGGTGTTTTCTGCCTTTTTGGTGCTGGGGGAACAAATCCAAATCCTGCTGCTGGAGATCTGCCTCTCAGCGTGGTATAAATCCAGGGCAGCAGATCCTGGACCTGCAGGGATCATCCACCCCAAGCAGGAGCTCTGAAATCTCTGGGATATGACAGGTTCGGGGAAAAGTGGGCACAGAGGATAATTCACATTTATCATCCCTGCTAATACACGTCCCTGCTAAGACTAAAGCTTCCCCGGAGGCTCCACACTTGGGTCAGCAAAGCCCTCAAAAATACACTATTAATAGAGCAAGAGGAGGTTTAATCCTTGGAAAATGGAGAAAGAGGGATTTTGGGAAGGCAGGAGAGGAGAGCTGCCCCTGGCCCCGCTCCAGCAGCGACCTCTGAGCCCCCCCAGGAACGGGGCAGTTTCTGGTGTCCCACCAAAAAACCCCAAACCCCGGAATCTTGGCCTGAGGATTCTCTGCACACAAGGTGTTCCTTGTGCAGGAAAAAGCTGGGGTTTGTTTGCTTTATTTAGCAAACTACCAGGAGGTGAGAAAAGCCTGGCAGGCAGGAGAGAGCAGCTCTCACACCCACCCTGGCCAGCCTCAGGCAGGGGAACAGACCCCGTGTTCATTTTTAGGGGAAGAGCTGGAAATGAAACCCAAACCCAACAAACTGGGGCCGATTGTGCAAACTCTGCACCTCTGGCAGCTGTGCCTGGGCAGAGGGTGAGGGGGGAGAGCTGGCACCAGGCACCACTTGGCTTCCTGGCAAGAGGAAGTTTTCAGGTGAAAAGAAAGAAAAGCAAAACCTGGGGACACGCAGCCCCAACCTTTCAGGGTGTGTTCCAGAAAATACCTCCACATTTGGTAGCTCACAACTCGAGTTCTCCCCATTTCCTGCCCAGTTTTTGGGGTCACTACCCTGCCCAGAACAAACCCCAGCTGCTCCAGACACACCAAAGAGCCTCACAAAGGGACAAAGTGGCTTTGGAACTATGTCCCCGTGGTTTTTTCCCATCTGATTCCCTCCCTGGTTTGCAAAACGAGTTAATCTGCACCAGGAGCTCATCCATGTAAATGAGCCAAGCTCTGGCTCAGCAATTCCTTGGAGATCGGGGCCATGGAGAGGGAACCAGAGGATGGGGCAGGCTGGAAGCCTGCAGCCCAGTGAGTAACTGGGCTTTAATTTGGACTCTGATGACTCCAGAAGCCACTCCTTGGGCAGCTCCTGTAATTGCTGGAGGTTTCTGTGCATCAGGATGAGCGACACTTCCTTTGGAGGGGGGATAAATTGGGACGGAGCCGATGGAATGAGTGAGGTGGGCTGTAAAAGGGAACAGAGCTGAGGCAGGGAATCACCTCATCATCCACTTTGCCAGATCCCTGAATCCCCCAGGATTTGCCAAATGCCTCTGTCACGCTGCAGACTGACAGACAGAGCCCCTTTGCCCTTCAAATTCCCCCCTGAATTGTCACAAAACCAGGACGAAGCCTCCGGTCCTGCCTTGCCTTGGCTGGGTGAAAGCACCCAGAGCAGCTCACCCTGCAGCACAGGCAGGTCCCACCAAAGCAGCCCTGCCATGCAGGCAGAAATCCCTGTGTGAGGGCTGTGGAAGGAGGGAAATGCCTGGCTGAGACAGGGAAGGGCAACTCCCAAGGTGGGGAACCCCAGCAGGCGCCTCGCACCTCACCCGAACCTCTGTGTGCCTCTCCCTCACAGCAATCAGGAGTGGAAGCTTTCCTGAGCCACAAATCCCAAGTTTTTGATCCCGAGGAGGAACTGATGCCTGTATCACCCCCAGGATCTAACCCAGGCACCCTGGGATGGGGAGGGAGGGGATGAGGAGCCGTCTGGACGCTGCCAGCCGTGCTAAGGTGGGAGCCCACGCTCTGGAAGGGAGCCACGCGGAAACTCCCCCAAAGCCGGGAGCCAGGACGTGTCTCCTGTGTGGGGTGATAAGGACGGGGCTCCAGCAGGGCTGGGACTGGCCCAGATAAAAGGGAGAGGCAGATCAGGGCCCGGCAGACGGGTCTGGAGCCGGGACCTCTCCCAGGAGGAGTCACGGGGTGGGTGCCGCGCACCCGACCCGTCCGACCGGCACGGCTGCCAGCCCTTCCCTGCCCCGCTGAGCCTGGCCCGGAGCAGCAGCTGGGACAGGAAAAGGAGAAGAAGCAGGGCTGCCCCATGGGGCCCAGGATCCACAGGGTGTCCCCTCCACGGGGACTTTGTGTGGGGCACAACCTCACCCAGACAAAGCTGCGACAGTGCAGGCTCTGCCGGGATCGCTCCCCTTCTTCCCGGGCCAAGCCGGGGGTCTCTGGGGGCTCGTGTCAGTCCCCAGGGAACGACACGGAGGGAGGTCAGGCCAGGAACGCAGAGGGGATGTAAAGTCCAGCCTGGCTGGGACCCAGAGCAGGAAGTTTCACAATGTGCTGGTTTGTGCCGTGATGTCACGGCTGCGGTGAGACAAACAAGGGCCGCGCGTTTGTCGCGGGCGGGTCCCGCGGGGCCGGCTCCCTTCTCCCCTCCCCACCACGCTCGATGCCATGGGGATGCCTCATCCAGGCGCTGCTACAAAGCTGCCCTTAAAAACCAGCAAACAGGACACAATCGGGGCTTTGTGCCACGGGCCCCGCTCTGGGAAGGGCCCTGGAAGGGCCAAGTGGGAGCAGGGAGCAGGAGGGGTTTGTGGCACACGCTGCCGAGGGCTCCTGTGCCCACCAGGGACTGCTCCATTCCCCCTCGTCCTCCTCCCGAGGAGCTGGAAGCGAGCTCGTGCTGCCCAGAACATCCCAATCCCACCCAACAGCTCCATCCAACCCTGGAATCAAACATCCCAAAACGAGGCATATCCCTGGAGTGCCCCCAAAACAAGGGGGTTTAATTCTAGTGCTGACCGCTCTGGTGGTCACCTGTTTACCCAGCACACTCCTCAGCCAGGCAGGGCTGGGACAGGGTCGTGGGGACAGCAGGGCTCTGCCAGGGACAAGCACATGGAGACAGAGCCACTACAAGGACACCGAGCTCAGAACAGCCCCTCCCTATGGCAAAAGAGGAAGAGAAACCCCGATGTCACAAAATCCCCACCATCATCCCTCTCACACAGGATGTCCCCTCCCTGGGCGGGCTGGGGTGACACTGAGGTGGCTCTCAGACCCCACTGAGGTATTGCAGACCCCACCTGAGCCCCAGACCCCATCCCTCTCACGTGGGCAGTGCTGGCAGCAGCCCGGGGAGGGTTTTGGGGCACTGCCAGCTGAGGAAATCCCCCCTCCCTGGCTCTGGGGGTGCCCTCCCCAGTGGCAGAGCCAGTGGCAGGGTCTGTTTGCCCACCTGCCACCCCTGGTGGCCACAGACCTGTCCCTGCCTCTGCTCCTCCCCAGCCCAGCCAGGGAGGAGGAAGGAACAGCCTCTGAGCCACCCTATCAACACAGACACCCAGCCAGACCTGCACAGAGCTGGGCTCTGCATCCCATCCAGGAGCAAAAACATCCAAGTTTTAAAGACCTTTTCAGATGTTGTTTTCTCCCTGAGGGATTTTTCCCCTGTCAAAAAACAGGAGAAAACCTCACTGGCAACAGACCCGAGGGGCTGGGAGCCACAGGGGTTCAGGAGGGGACACAGAACCCCCCAGGAGGCCGAGCTGAGCTCTGGAAGGGGCAGGACACGCAGTGCTGCCAGCCCAGGTGGCAGCTGGGGCCACCACACCCCTGGCTGGGCACCTCCTTCTTCCCCAGGAACAGCATCCAAGGAAAACCAGCCACAGCCCCTCCCCTGCCAGGGCTCATTTTCCATCTGCCTCCCCCCGGAAGCAGAGGAGCTTTTCCTGCTCCAAAATTCCTTCCCAGCTCCTTGCCTGGAGCAGAAAGTTCCAGCACACGTGGAGGCCTGGAAAAAAACTCTCAGGGATTTGGGAAGCGTTGGGAACAAACCCCTCCCTCAAATTCCCAAGGGAGAGCTCGGATCCGGAGGGACGCAGGCCTGGGGGGGCTCAGCACCCCTTGGAGAGGGGCTGGTGGTGGCTGGGGGGACAAAGGGACCCAATGCCACGTCTGAGGGACACGGCCAGAGAAAAGCTCCTCCGGCCTGGAGTCAAACCCTGCCCCTGGACCAGCGCCAGGAAGCTCTGTGCTGGCCACGGCTTTCCCCATTTCACCCCAGGAGCCTCCCGGACCATCCCACAGGGCTGGGGCTCCCCAGAACACCGCTCTGAACCCTGCTCTGGCTTTGCTGTTAAAATGTCCCCGTGCCACAGTGACAGTGCCAGCCTCACGTCCTCGGGGGTGGGGACAGAGCCAGGAGGCCCCGCTGCTGCTGCAGCTCGTGGGGAATTCTCCACGGTGATCGAGGGTGAGAGCTGCTGAGCTAAAAAAAAAGGAGAGGAGAAGGAGGAGAAAGAGGAGGAGGAGAAAGGAGGAGGAGGAGGAGGCGGTTGCATGGGTGGTCTCTAGAACGTTCCTCCCTGTTCCACCTCCGAGGGCAGAGCCAGGCACGAATACAGGAACTGGGCTCGCCCATGCCTTTCTCCAGCGCCTTCAAAACAAGGAAGGAGCCCGGGAGCACCAAGGAAGGAGCCCCAGCCCGGGCAGGAGCCTCCCCTGGTGCGGGGATGGGGGCGAGGGGAGCCTGCACACCCCACGGGTCACACAGGCCAACGCTGTCCCCTGCCCGGTGCCAGCCCCGCCTGTGGGAGCCCCCCGCGGGTCCCTGGCTCGGGGAAATCCAAGGATCAGGCTAATCCCGAGGCCAGAGTGACCCGTGGCTTGCCTGCGAGCCAAGCTGCTGTAGCAACAGCCCAAAATAATGCTGCAAAACAAGCCCGGGGGAGCAGCCGCTGCCTCTCGCGAGAGGGAAGCTCGGGCTGGATTGAGCAACATTTTCTGCTGCCTCTCAACTGTGACTAAATCCAGCAACAGCCCCTTTTAGCCAGAGCCAGAACACAAAAAAAAAAAAAAAAAAAAACCCGGAAAAAACCCCAAGGAAAACAGTGGAAAAGCAAGTGGAGAGCGCTGCCAGAGCCGATCCCTTCCGCGGCAGCAGCTGAGCAGGCTCCAGCTCCGTTCCCACGTTCACGTATCCCGCTTTTCCCAGGCTGTGGGAGACGGTGGGGTGGATCCGCGGGGATCCGAGCAGGGTGCCCCGTGCCCACGGGACCGGCTGGGCCACGCTGAGGTCACGCTGTCCCGCGCCAGCACCCAGACACTTAATGAGCCCTTTCTTCCACCCCTGGGAGGAAATTCCCCGCAGCTCCGTGACTGGGTTTGTTTTCATGGGCTTTTCAGTTAATCCCTGTGTTTTATGGCCATGACTCCTTACAGGCTCAGCCAAGGAGCCGAGCTGGACTCGGGTCCTCAGCCCAGCCCTGACCTAGACTCCTGGGTGGCCTCCAGAGCAGGACAGTGGCACAAAACCAGGTGTCCTCTTTCTTCTCCACTTTCCCCCCCACAGATACCTCCTCCCTTTCCTTCCAGACTTAAACTCCCCAAAAAGACCTTTAGTGTCGTCTGGTGATGAACACACTCCATCCCCAGGGCCAACACAAGCCCCACCCCACCACCAACACCATTTGACACCGACCATGCCCAGCCCAGCCCAGCCGGGCCCATGGTTTCTCCTTCCCATGCCTGGCTGCGAAAGGGGACCGGGGAGCCGAGCACTCACCGGGGGCGTTGGCGATGGCCAGGGGCAGCCCCTGCAGCTGGTGCACCTGGATCCCGGACGCTCCCAAGGCACTGAGGTTAATAGTCTGGAGGCCCGGCACGGAGGAGAGCTGGGCGGCGTTGACGGTGACGGTGCCGCTGGGCAGGGAGGCGATGGGGGTCAGCGTGGTGCTGGTGCTGCCCGTCTGGCCCAGCGACACGCCCTGCATGGGGGCCAGCGTGATTGTCTGCGCCTGGGGGTTCTGCACCTGCAGGTTCTGCAGCTGGATGGTCTGCCAGCTCACCTGCCCGTTGGGACCCACCGTGGGCGTGCGGATGATGATGGGGCCGGAGTTGGGCACGGCTTGGAGCTGCAGGTTCTGCAAGGTGTCTTGGGAGATGGCTTGAGTGGCAAAGGTCTGGCCAGAGAGCGGGGTGGTCTGGAGGGCTTGGATTGTCTGCCCTCCTTGGACCAGCTGCGGCTGGATCAGGATCTGCTGCTGCTGCTGCTGCTGTGACTGCTGGCTCTGATCCCCCTCCTTCTGCTGCCCTGGCTGCAGGGCCACCCCGGACACCGGGGTCTGCAGAGAGTCCGAGCTGGGGACGCTGCTGGCCCTCTGGGGGGTCTGCGCCTGCACGTTGGTGCCCACCGTGGCGCTGGTGGAGAAATTCATGACGCCCACGTTACTGGTGGTGGTGGTGGTGGAGTAGCTGTTGGCGTTGGTGAAGAAGGCGCCTGAGCTGGCCTGGGACGTGGCCGTGCCGCCCGAGCTGCTGGCAGCCCCTGAGGTGGCCGGCTGGGAGCTGCTGTCCGGCGAGCCCGAGCTGCTCAGGGTGCCCGTCTGGGACGTGGGGGCCAGGCTGGCGGCCACGCTGTTGACCGGCAGCAGGGTGATGTTGCCGTTCAGGGCCACGGGCACGTTGGCCACGTACTGGGTCTGCCCGGAGAGGCTGTTGTTGGCCAGCCCCACGCCCTGGATGGGCACGGCCTGCTGCAGCAGGTTGGGCATGGCGATGAGGTTGCTGCTGCCCGCACGGCTCGTGATGATCTGCTGGTTGGAGCCGGGGATGATCTGCAGCTGCCCCGAGGCATCCTGCTGCACGTTCACCTGCGCCGGGGTGGTGGCAAACTGCAGCTGCTGCCCGTCGATGGTCTGGAACTGGGGGATCACCTGGTACTGGATGTTGGGGATGACGCCCGGCAGGCCCGTGAGCACCTGCTGGTTCTGCAGGCCGGACGCCGAGGTGACCACGTAGGGCCCGGTGCTGACCGGGCGGCTCTTGGAGGCGTCGCCGCCGTTGCTGCCGTTGCTGCCCGGCTCCTTGGAGCCCGTGGGGGTGCTGGAGCCCGCCGAGATGATCTGCCAGCCGTTGGCCGACTGGGTGAGCTGGGCGGCGGCCGCGTTCAGGTCCAGCTCGCCGCTCCCGCCCTGCTGGCCCTGGGAGCTGTTGGAATTCTCATTGGGAGACTCGATGCGGCTGCAGGTGGCTGCCAGCAGGGCCAGCGGGGATGGCTGTGACTCCTGGGGATGAGAGGAGGAGTTACGCGAGTGGGAGGCGGCCCGAGGGGCAGGCCCGGAGTGGAAAAAAAAACCAAACGGGGAAACAAAAAAAAAAAGAAAACTTAATAAGAGAAAACAGGGAGGAGCATACTCAGAAAAGATAAACACTCCTTCCTGAACAAACCCACCCACAGCCGGAAAAATACAACTGCCAGGCACAAGGCTGTCAGGCCGGGACAGCCTGAACCCACACGGAAAAGCCTTTTGGGAGGGAGCCTGCCTGGGAAAGCCAAGAGAGGAGAGAGCTCCTCTACCCCCAAGCCGGGGAATCCCCCTGGGGCACGACAAACCCCCCAGGCAGGAGGGTCATTCCTGGGCTCCCCGTGCTGGAGAAGGGCCAGCGGGGGCCGTGGTGTCACTGGCACAGGGGAACTGCGCGTTTCCGAGGAGAGCCGGCGAGGAGGGGAAGCCACGGGCGCTGCTTGGCAGCGCTCACCCTCCTCTTCCTGCCCGTGCTGGAACGCTTGCCTGGGCCCAGCAAACAGCTCGGCCCGGGCCTGGACTTTGCCACGGGTTCCCCGGGGCCAGCGGGGCCGATCCTGCCCCCACTCACCTGGGCCTCCCCACCGCCGGCGCTGCTCGTGCTGCTGGCGTCGCCTTCGCCCTTGTCGGGCTTCACAGCCGACATCTCCTCGGTGCTCTCTTGGTCTGCGCAGGAGGGAAGTGACAGCCCCGGTTAGGGACATTTTGGGGCAGGGCAGCGGCACGAGGCTCGGCAGGGCCCGGCAGGGCCCGGAGGGGACACGGCGGGCCGGCTCTGGGGGCACCATGTGCTGCTGGCGCAGCCGGCGAGGGGCTGCGAAGAGCAGGGAGCTGCCAAAGAGGAGCTGGCAGCGGGACAGGGGGGGAGGACCCGGCCCTGCTCCAGGCGCGGCTCCTCCCCGGCCGCCCGGGACACTCCCTGGCCCCCGCCGAGGCGCTCCCCGGGCCTCCCCCTCGCCTGCCCCGCGGGCCGGGGCACACAGCTCCCGCCCGGGCCGCGGATCCACCCCGGGATTCCCCCCGTGGGTCCGGCCCTCGGGATGCCCTGCCCGGGGCTGCCCCGCCCGCCGCCCCCCAGCTCGGGGGTCCCCGCTCCCACCGAGTCCTTCCTCTCCCAGCGCTCAGGAGCCTCCTCATCCTCCGCCGCCACCGGGGCTGCGCCCCCGCTCCTGCCCTCGCCCCCGGCACCGGGGTCTGCCCTGGGGAGGGGACGCCGAGCGCCCCCCGCCCGCTCGCTCCTTCCCACGGCCCCCCGGCCCCGCATCCGCCCCCGCAGGGCGCCTTGCCCGGGAGTGGGGGAAAGCCCCCCGGTGCCTGCGCTCGCAGCCGCCCACCCCCACGGCCTCCCCCGCGGAGGGGGCGGGCGGCGGCTCAGCCAATCGGCGCCCGCGCGGGCTCGCAGGGAGACCCCGTATGGGCGCGGCCGCGGCGGCGCGGGCCGCGGCGTGATGAACGTGCGCCGCCGCCAATGGGGCGCGGGAGGCGGGGCGTGGCAGAGCTCAGCACCAACCGGCTGCGCGGGCCGCGCAGCGGGGCGGGAGGGGAGCGGATATTGATGGTAGCGCAGACTAATCGCAGCGCGGAGGCGGCAGCAGCAGTGCTGCTCGGAGCCAATCAGCGCGCCGGTCGGTCTCAAACGGGCCAATGGGCGCCGCGGGGAGGCGGGGCCAGCGGCCGGGCTGCGCCCTTGGGGGGACGGCGCGGCGAATGGCGGAGCCGGCGCCATGTTGGGTTCGACTCCCTCAGACCCGGCCGGGCTGCCCCGGGCGCTGCTGAGGCTCCCCTCGCCCTCGGTACCGCGGGTTACGTGCGGCTCTTCCCTCCCTGAGTCCCTGTTCCATGCCGCAAGCCGGCTCGGCCGTGTCGCGATAGCCGCCATGGCGGTGCGACACGTCCTCAGGGGCCCGCGGCGCTGTGTGAACCCCAGAGCCCTGTCACGACATCGCCCAGCCCTGTCCCGACACAGCGGGCGCCACAGCGGGGAGCCCGGGCCGCCCCTGCCCTGGCAACGCGGCCTGGGGAGTTTGGGGGCGTTGCGGGGTTTGGGGGTTTGGGGCCAAACCCCTTCATTTCACAGCAAAACGAGCGGTTTGGGGGCGAACGGGGACCGCGGCACCCCGGGGAGGGACAGCTCGGGACACGCAATGGCGTCGGTTTCGCTTTGCAGCACCAAAACCGCCCCCCACGTCCGTGACCTTCCCATTTCCCGGTGTTTTCGGCCCAATTCCCGCCCCGCGGCCCGGGAAGGCCCCGAGGCCTCGCCCCGCATCCGGTAGGGCTCGGGGACAGCTGTCCCTGCCCTGTCCTGTCCCTGTCCCTGTCCCTGCCCTGTCCCGCTCCCCCCACACCTCTGGGGTCCCTCGGTGTCCCCTCGTGACCTGCAGTGGTGGCACCTGGGGACAAAAGGGGGCCAACAGTGACTGTCCCATCCTGTCACTGTGGCTGTCCCTGTCCTGTCACTGTGACTGTCCCATCCTGTCACTGTGGCTGTCCCATCCTGTCACTGTGGCTGTCCCTGTCCTGTCACTGTGACTGTCCCCGTCCTGTCACCGGTGCTGTCCCCGTCCTGTCACCGAGCCGAGCCCTGGGGGCTGCGTTGGGCCGGGCAGGTCGAGGGGGGCACGGCAGGACCTGTCCCCTCAGACCCCCTCCCCCGTTTAAGCCCCCTCCCCTCATTAGTCCCAGCAGCGTCCTTGTCCCCTCCAGTAACGCCCACGATTAGCACCCAAAGCCCCATCAGGACTCCCCCAATTAGCCTCTCATTTCCCACCATCTAGACCTCCCCCAATTAACCCCCACTGTCCCCCGGGACCCCTCCCCGGTGTCCCCAGTACCAGCATTAACCCCCACTGTCCCCCGGGACCCCTCCCCGGTGTCCCCAGTACCAGCATTAACCCCCACTGTCCCCCGGGACCCCTCCCCGGTGTCCCCAGGCGCCCCCCGGTGGTCGCGGCCGGGCGGTGCCACCCCCGGGCCCGAGGCTTTGCTGCCGCCTGGCGGGGGCGCCACGGCGGGACCCGGGCACCGGCTGGCACCGACAGTGTCACCGACTGACACCGAATGTCACTGACAGTGTCACCGAGTGTCACCGGCTGGCGCCGACAGTGTCACCGACTGACACCGAATGTCACTGACAGTGTCACCGACTGTCACTGACTGTCACTGACTCGGGCACTGGCTGGCACTGAGAGTGTCACCGACTGACACCCAATGTCACTGACAGTGTCACCGACTGTCACTGACAGTGTCACCGACCCAGGCACCGACTGTCATCAACAGTGTCACCAACAGTGTCCTGTCACCCGCCACAGTGGGACCTGGGCACCGACTGTCACCAGTCCTGCCCTGTCACCAACACTGTCACCGATCCTGTCCTGCCCCCAAGAGTGTCCCTAGCAGCATCCCCAGTCCTGTGTTGTCCCCCACAGTGTCCCCAAAGCTGCCCTGTCCTGTCCCAAATAGTGCCCCCATCCCTATCCTGTTCTGTCCCCAACCCTGTCCTGAACCGTGTCCTGTCCCTGGGGCTTTCACATCAGGGTGCTGTCCTGTCCCGTGTCCCCAAAAGTGTCCCCAACCCTGTCACTGTCCCAGCGCTCACCCTGCTGCTGTCCCCAAGCCTGTCCTGTCCCCATCCGTGTCGCTGTCCCCACCTCCCACTGGCCGCTCAGGGGACAGAGGCACCCTCAGCCTTGGACTGGGGCAAACTGGGAGCACTGGGGCGAGCCGGGGGGGGGCCAGCGGGGCCAGCCTGGGGTGCCCCACCCCCGCTGCCACCCCCGATTGTCCCTCTGGGTCCCCCCACCCGGCAGGTCGCGGCCGCGGAGGAATCAGGGCGACGCCGGGCGACTCCCAGCAATTTTGGGTTGGGAACCGCAGAAATGCAGCGCGGCGCGAGCCAGGGCGGACCGGCCCGGGGACAGCGACGGGCGGGGGGACCGGGGGGGGTCACAGGGCTGGGGACAGCGCGGGGGGACACCCGGGGCAACCCGGGGGGCTCAGGGCTGGGGAGGGGTCGCTGGCAGCAGCCTGGGGGGGGGNCGCGGGGCACAGTGGCAGCTTGGGGGAGGGGGGCCCCTCGGCAGCCTGGGGGGGTCCTTCAGCAGCCGGAGGGGGGGTCCGGCCCCGGTGCCGCCCCCGCTGCCGCCGCTCTGATGTGGCTGCGGCACCGCAGCGCAATGGGAGCCACATGGCGGGGGGACACGGGGGGAGCACGGGCCGGGGGCAGGCTCGGGGGGCCACCCCTGGTCCCCAGCGGTCACCTCTGTCCCCCCACGGCCACCCGTGTCACCCCAGGGGCACCGCTGTCCCCCGGGGTGTGCCGGCTGTCCCAGGGTCCGTCTTGTCCCCGCCGGGGGTCCCTCCCGGCTCGGTGCCCCCCCGCGGCCCCCGCGGTTATTTCCAGGGATAATTCCGGGATAATTAAAGGGTGGGAGGAAACACCGGGGCCGTGGGCGCAGCTCAGCCCTGGGGCCACCCTGCTCTGGCTTCCCCGTGGGTGGGAAGCCCCCAGCCCCATTCCGGTGCCTCTGTCCCTGCAGGTCCCTGCTTCCATCCCCCCCGCCATGTCCCCACAAGTTCCCCCCTGTTCCCCCTGCTTTCCTCCTGCCCCGCGGACCCCCCCTGTCCCCCACCTTGGTGGGGGGGGGGATCTCTGGGACGCCGGGGGGGCTCCGAACACCGGGGTGCCCCCCGTGGGTGGTGCAGGGGGGGAGCTCAGCCCTGTTCCGGGCCCTCGGAGCCCCCCCGGTCCCGCGGGGCCCGTGGGCGGCCGTGGCCGGCGCACCCAGCGCGGGGGCTGCGCTATTTCGGGGCCTCCGACCGCAAGGGAAACATCCGGGGGCCGGAGAGGGCGGGCAGGGCAGGGCCGGGCCGGGGGGACACCGCGCCAGGTGAGGGCTGGGGGACGCGGGGGTCACCCGGGCTGGTGCCACTTCCTGCCCCCGAGCCCGAGGGGCTGCGGTGCCCCCGGGGGGACAACACTGCCGGGACCCCCGCGCTGGGCAGGGGGCGTTCCCTGGCCCTGGGGACCGGGATGGGGACAGGGGCATCTCCGGCCCTGCAGCCTCTGTCGTACTGAGACCCCCGGACTCATCTCAGGGGGCTGCGACCCCCCAAACTCGTGTTATGCTGGGGCTGAGATCCCCCCCAAATTTGGGACAGAGGGGCTGAGCCCCCTCAAATTCGTGTCAGCTGCTGAGCCAGGCTGATAAATGGGTGAATGAGGCAGAAGAGGGAGGCAGAGATGGGAAGAAGGGATGGAGAGGAGGACGGAGGAGGGATGGACACACGGACGGTGGCTGGCCGGCTGCCCGGGGACGGAGCCCCCCCGCCCCGTGTCCCCCCCGCGCTGGCGAGGTCCCGGCGTCCGGCCGGGTATAAATACCGGCTAATTGCGGGGGCCCGGCGCGGCCGCGGGGCCGTGGGCGGCCGAGCCCGGCGCCGCCCTGTAATCAGCCCCCGCCGCCGCCCCCCCGCGCGGCCGCCGCGCTTTGAAGGGTCCCGGGGCACACGGGGCGGGGGTCCCCACGGCCCCCGAGCCGCGGAGAGACCCCCGCCCCAAGTGACACCCCCAGCCCAGCCCGGCCGTTCGGGCAGCGCCGGACCCCCGGTGAGCCGGACCCTCGTGGGCGATGCTGGGGGGAGTGAAACCCCCCAAAAAATCCATGGGGTGCCTCCCCCCCCCGTCCCACGCCGGGCTGGCTGAGGAGGAGGAGGAGGAGGAGGGCTGGAGTGGCCGTCCCAGTTTGCTCCCAGTTTGTGGGCAGTGGAAGCCCCAGCGAGGGGGGGCCGGTGGTTGTAGCCTTCGGCGGCGCCGGCGGCTGCGGAGCGGAAAGCCCTGACTCAGGGCTGGGAAAGGGCCCCGCTGGCCCGGCGGGGGGAAACGGGCAACGGGGAAAGCGAAAAGAAACCGGGAAGGATGGGGGAGTAATAAAATAAAAAAGGGAGGGGGCATAAAAGAGCGGTTGGAGCAATTCCTTCATGGGGGAAACTGAGGCGCAGGGGGGTCCCCATCACCAGAGCCATGCGTGTCCCTGTTCCCCACTCCCTGACTCCCATCCCCGCTCCATTCCCAACTCCTGTCCCCATCCCCGCGCCTCTGACCCCATTCCTGGTACCTGAAGCTCCAGCCCATGTCCCTCTCATCCCCATCGGTTGTCCCCTCCTGTCCCCATCCCAACCCCTCATCCCCATCCCTGCTCCATCCTGGCACCTTCTGGGGTCACGAGCCTCTGGGTGTCCCAGCTGTCCCGTCCTCCTTTGTCCCTTTGTCGCCCTTCCCCTCCCTATCCATCTATTCCTTCATTCCTTCTCTCCTCTCCAGCACTTTTCCTCTTCATCCACTTCCCTTCCCAGCCCCTTCCTCCTCCTTTTCCTGCTGTCCATCCCTTTCTCCCCCTCTCCCTCCTTTCCCTTCCCCTTTTCCTCTTCTTATTTCCCTCTTATTTCTTCTCCTTTCCTTTTCCCTCCTTTCCCTTCCTTCCCTCTCCCCACTCTTCTCTTTCCTTTTCCCCACACTGGTCCCTGTCCCCTATCTCCCCTCCTTCCTCCAGCTCTCAGCCTCCTCATCTTCCTCCATTCACAACTTTTTTAAAAATTTTTCTTCCATTTCCTTATAGAATTTTTCTTTTCTCTTCCCTTCCTTTTTCATTTCCCTTTTAACTTTTCCCTTCCTTTTTCCTTTCCCCTTTCCTCTCTTTTCCTTTCCTCCTCATCTCTTTTCTTTCCCTCCTTTTCTCTCTTATTTCCCTTTTCCAATTCCTTGTTCTTTCCCCCCCTTTCTTCTCTCCCCCTTTTCTCCTTCTTTTCCCCTCTCTCATCTTTTCCTTCCTCCTTTCCTTTTCCTCTTCCCCTTCCCCTGCCCCCCTTCCCGCGGTCCCCCGGCCCCCCCGGCTGGGGGCGGTTCGGGGCCGGGCTCCCGCTCCCGGCCCCGGTCCCGGCCCGGCCCAGCCCCGCCGCAGCGGCACAGCGGGGCGGGCGGCGGCCACGGTGCTCCGTCCCTCCCTCTCCCTCCGTCCCTCCCTCCGCAGCGAGCCCCGGCATCCCGGGACACCGGCATCCCGGGACAGCGGCACACCGCGACAGCGCGACACCGCGGGCAGGACCCACCCCCGGCATCCCCGGAGCCCGGTAAGGACCCCCGGGACCGGGACCCTTCGGGATGGGGGACACTGCCCCGGGAGCGGGACCCCGCGTAGAGGAACACGGGGTGGGGGATCCCCCTGGAGGGACAGGGACCCTTTGGGATGGGGGATCCCCCTGGGGGGACAGGGACACTTTGGGATGGGGGATCCCCCTCGAGGATCAGGGATCCTTTGGGATGGGGGATCCCCCTGGAAGGACAGGGACCCTTTGGGATGGGGGATCCCTGCTCTGGGGCTGGGACCCCAGGATTTGGGAGCCACGGGGTGGCGGACTCGCTCCAGGATGGGGGAGCCCCCTGGGATATGGGACTCCCCCAAGGACAGGGACCTGTGTGGGCCCTGAGCATCCCCCTGCGGTCCCTGTGCCGGGGGACACGTGTGACCCTGCCCCAGCAGGGACTGCCCTGCCATGCCCAGAGGGGGAACAGGGACAGGGGGATGGTGCCGAGTGCCACTGTCACCCCAAACTGTCTCTCTGGCTGGGGACAGCACCACTGCACAGGAGCTAGGCCCAGGTGTCCTCGGGTTTAGGGGACATGGGGTGGCACTGACAGGGTGGGGGAAACTGAGGCAAGGGCTGTGGGGACACTTGGGGCCAGGGACCAGGGACGGGGTTTGGGGATTGGGACTGGGGACAAGGACTGAGTTTGGGGACCAAGGAACTGTGGACTTAGGGGACCAGGGACTGGGGGACAAGGGACGGGGAATGGGGAACTGGAACCGAGGATCAAGAACTGGACACTGGTGGTCAGTGACAAGAGACCGGGAATTTGGGACCCAGAATTTGGGACCGGAGACCCCTAGAGCAGGGGCTGGACCCCTCCCCACGCCGGGAGGGGACATGGGAGGGGTCAAGATCCCTGAGCCAGCGGGAGCCACAAAGGGACTGTCACCCCCGGCAGCAGCGAGCTCACGCCGTCCTCGGCCCGCAGCTCCCGGGGCTCCTTCCCTGCTCCTTAATTTCCCGGCGCAAGCGGAGCTGATTTATGGGAGTTTGACACTATTTTAAGCGTGCGCCTCCGTTTGCCGCTCGCCCTGGTTTTAATTACCTCGGCTCTCGCGGCAGGGCAGCGTTCCCGGGGCACAGGCCTGGCCCTTGTTATCCTTGGAAAACCGGGAGCGCGCTTGCGGCCACGGCCGGGCCGGCGTAAAAATAGGCGCAAAAACCACGGAAAAAAAAAAAAAAAAAAAAGAAAGGGGGGCTCGGGGGGGAACACCCTAAAAAAAACCCCAAACAAACAAAAAAGCCAAAGTGGAAATGCCCCAAGGTGGGTGAAAAGATGAATTAAAAAAAAGAAAATCAAATAAAGGGAAGGCCGGGGGTGATGGGGGTGAGGGACAGCTCACGACACCCCGGCCCAGCCCGTGCAGCTGAAAGCCATGACGGGTATAAAAGCAGAGGAAGTCACCCGGGGAGGGGGAGGCCACAGCATAATTCGATTAAAAGGCCATAAAGGCAGAAGGAGCCGAGATTGGGGGTGGGGGGAGGCCCTGCCACCAGCACAACCCCACAGCAGCCCCCAGAGAAGCCCCTTTGGGGGGGATGCTGGGCTGGGTGTGGCCTCAACTCTGTGGGGGGAAACTGAGGCACAGGGGATGGGGACTGTTGGGGGTGGTAGGAACCCTGGGGCTGGGGCGTGCAGCAGGGCTGACACCCCAATACCACTGGCACCCCAGTTGGGCTGACAGCCCAATGCAGCTGCCCCCACTGCGGACCCCCAGGACGGGTCACCCCATGGCTCACGGTGCCCCTCAGAACCTTGAAGCCCCGTTCCCCTTTTCCACAGGCTGCCAAGTGCCATGGCCGCGAGCCCCCGCTGACATCGCCCCCCACGCCTCGCGGTGCCCCCGCTGACATCGCCCCCCACACTTCGCGGTGCCCCCGCAGCCATGGGTGACTCGTACGCCGCCGCCTTCCCCAGCGCCCCGGGGCTGCTGTCGCCGTCCGCCAGCCCCCAGGCCTCCCCCGGCCCCTACGGCCCCGACTACGGCCCCTTCGGGCACCCCTTCCCAGCCCCGTCCGGTGCCCAGGAGGTGCTGGGGGCCCCCGTGGTGGTGGCCAAGGGGCACCCCGCGGGCGAGTGCCTGCCGGGGGTGTACCCCTCGCTGGAGATGCCGCACCCCTACGGCTCCTGGTACAAGGGCGGCATCGGCGGGGGGCTGCCGGGGGGCTCCGGGCCCGCGGCCCCGTCCTGGTGGGATGTGCACCCCAACGGGGGCTGGCTGGGGGGGCCGGCGGGCGCCGAGGGGCTGCAGGGCTCGCTGCAGGGCCAGCCCACCCTCAGCCCCCCTCTGCCCACCTACGGCTCCGATTTCGGCGCTCTGAACCCCCCTCCATACACCAACGCCCCCGCGGCGCCCCCCACCCCTAAACCCACGCCGGGCGAGACCCCCAAGGGTCCCCGCGGCGGCTCCTTGGGGGGACGCCCGGCGTGCGATTGTCCCAACTGCCAGGAGCTGGAGCGGCTCGGGGGCCCGGCGGGGTCGCGGCGGAAGCCGGTGCACAGCTGCCACATCCCGGGCTGCGGCAAGGTGTACGGCAAAGCGTCGCACCTGAAGGCGCACCTGCGCTGGCACACGGGCGAGCGGCCCTTCGTGTGCAACTGGCTCTTCTGCGGGAAGCGCTTCACCCGCTCCGACGAGCTGGAGCGCCACGTCCGGACCCACACGCGAGAGAAGAAGTTCACCTGCCTGCTGTGCAGCAAGCGCTTCACCCGCTCCGACCACCTCAGCAAGCACCAGAAGACCCACGCCGACCCCCCCAAGCCGCCCCCCGGCGCCGAGCAGCCCCCGGCGTCCCCCCGGCCGCCCCCCGCCTCGCCCGGCAAGGACGGCGGCAGTCCCGAGGCCGGGAGTTTGTTGGAGATTTGAGCCTTTCCGCCTTCATCTTCCTCTTCCTCCTCCTCTGCGCCGCTGGGGATATTTATTACGGGGTGCTGCTCCCCCCAAGCCCCCTCCCCCTCAGTTCCCCAGCTCCTCGTTAGCCATTCTAATTTATGTCTTAAATTATGGGGGGGCTCTCCGAGCGCTCTGGGGTTCACTGGGGGGTGTCAAGGTGAGACCCCCCCCCCCTTCTGTTTTCCCTTCCACCTCCCCCAACCCTTCTTACCCCCAGCCCTCACCTCGCCCCCCGCACTCAGGGACAGGGTTTGCCCCCCTCCCCGGGCCTGGTTCATCAGTGCTAATGTAACGTGTCCCCCCCACTTTTTTTTAGCTGCCTGCCCCTCCTGCCCCCCGGAAAAAAAGCAATAAAAGGATTGAGAGTGGAGCTGGGCCCCCTTCTGCGGCTGAGGCCGGGCAGCTTCATCACAGCGATGTGCTCTGCAGGGCTCCAAGGGAAACTGAGGCACGGAGGGCACACGGGCCTGCTGTGTCCCCCCTCTCGGGGGGTGGCAGGACTGTGCGGGGTTGGGGACAAGCTGGGCTGTCCCCTTGTCCTCAGCTCCTGGAGTGCCATGTCCTGTGCCTCTCCCCTTCCCCAGGATCTTGTCCCCGTGTTCCCAGGACTCTGTTCCCTATGCTCCCCACAGTCTCCTTGTCCCCATGTCCCTCCTCGTGTCCCCAACCTCAGGGACAGCCAAAGCCTGACAGGCTGCGGGGCCTGACAGGACTGTCCCCTGCCAGCCTCACCCTGCCCACGCGCGTCCCCACTCCAGGGACGTTGTGTGCACGGGAACACGCCCGTGCACAGCCCCGTGCCTCAGTTTCCCCCGGCCACATCCCAGGGCCCACGTGGCAGCACCGGGCACGCGGCGGGGCCACGTGTCCCCGAGGACACCCCAATTTTGGGCGCTGTGGGCTGGCGGGGACCCCACTGCACTCCCCCTCCCCCTGCCCTGGGCTCCCGCCAGCCCTTTGATGCGCTCAGCCCTGGTTTGGGGCTTTTCCTGAAAAAAAAACCCAAAAAGCCACGGAAAAAGGCAACAGGAGGCGGAAACGAGCTCCAGTGCCAGCACGGAGCGGGGGGGCAGTGCTGGCACCCATGGTCCTGCGGGGGGACAGGGACACGGGTGGCAGCAGGTCCCATGCCAGCCCCGGGTGAGTCACGGTGGCCACGAGCTGGCCAGGACCCAGCTGTCCCCAGGGAGAGGGGGGACACAGGCTGGGGAAACTGAGGCACGGAGGCGGCAATGCAGCGGCCGGAGCTCAGCGCCACCACACAGAGCGCCACAGAGCTGTCCCCAGGGTGGCTCCCGGGGGCATTTGGAGTGGCAGTGCCACCTCTGCATGTCGCCCCCCAGACCAGCCACACCCTGCCCGACACCAACTCGCCCGTTTCGGGGTTTTCCCCCAGAACCCCGGCCCCGCTGCCGCTCGCCGTGGGTGGGCCGGTGCCAAGCAGGGCGAGGAGCCACGTCCCCGAGCCAAACCCCGGCCCGGCGGCCACCGAGGGCTCGACCGCCCGGAGCCTCCCAAACCACAGAGCCCAACCCCATCCAGCGACCCCCCCAACCCCACCGGGACCCCCCCTCCGCCACCTCCGCCTTTTTTCCCGTCTCGCTGCCCCGTCAGCCGCGTTTGGGGGGGTCCGAGGGACGCCACGAGGCCACGCCAGCCCTGCGGTGGCTCTGATGTCGGCGCCATCCCAAATCGTCGTCTCCTATCGAACCCCGCTCGCTCCGTAACGGGCGAGGAATGTGGGGCCCCCCGCCGCAGCTCCCCCCGCCGCCTTTATTTAATATCCTGAGAAAATTAAAATAACTCTTGCGGCCGCTAAGGAAAACACGGGGATAAACACGAGAAAAGCGGGAGCCCCGGGAGAGGGGCTGGGAGCGAGCCAACGCGGGGGCACGCGGCGGGAGCGGCACCCGGGGGACGCGGGGAGAACGGACACGGGCACTCGCCAGACGGGACACCGGGGGAGGCGGCACCGGGGACACGGGAGCGCGGGACAGCGGCATGCCGCGGGAGCACAACAGGGGACCGGGACCGGGGGTGCCCGCGGGACACAGGGGTGCGGGACACGCGGGGTGCCCGCAGGACGCGGGGGTGCCCCGGGGGTGCCCCAGGGTCCCGGTCCCGGTCCCGGTCCCGGTCCCGGTCCCAGCACTGCCCTGCTCGGACACCACGTGACCAGTTTTCGTGTCCGCCCCTCGCCCCGCCCCTCAAGGGAGGCTCCGCCTCTCTTAAAGGGGTAACGACAGTAAAAAGTGGCCCTCATTTTTTATCAGTCCTCGTTACAACCGCAGGGCCACTAAGGCACCGCTGGAGCGCGGCGGTGCAGGAGTCGCCGATATTCTGTCTCCTCCTCGGAGGAAAGTCGGGGAGCGTGGCGTTGTCCCACAGTGAGTTCTCCGCGGATTTCTCACTCGAGCCGCGGCCCTTTTAATTCGCCTCCCACACGCGGCCGGAGCCACGAGGGCGGCGCGCGGCGGCGATTGGCGCGAACGGGGAGCGGGAAGCGGGAAGGGGTGAGGGGAGGCAAGATGGCGGCGCCGGGGGCTGAGGGCGGGGAGCCGGGGGGAAACCGGGGGGCACCGGGGGTTGTGAGCGGGTGAGGGAAAACCCGGGGGGCACCGCGGGTTGTGAGGGGCGGAGAGACCGGCGGAAGGGTCGCCGGCCTGGAGCCGGCGCATCCCGAGGGCAGCGGCGGTTTCAGCTGTCGCCCCCCGGCCCGGTCTCGCCGCCAGGCTCGGCGCCGCCATGTGCTCGCTGGGGCTGTTCCCGCCGCCGCCGCCGCCTGGGGATGTCACCCTGTACGAGCTCAACAACGCGCTGGTCTGCGGCCGCCTCAGCGAGCAGCTCCCGCTGGCCTTCCAGAGCCAGGTGAGACCCCGAGCCGGGGGAGCCTCCTGGCTGCCAGCCCCTCCAGCCTGGGGCTGCCACCTTTGTCCCCCTCAGCTGTGGCTGGAGCTCTGTCCCCTCTGCCGGGGTCTCTCCAGGCACCCTCAGGCTGCTCCTTCGCCCCTCCTTGTGTCCCTGCCTTCCTCCCCTCGCCTTTTGCCCGCTGCCCTGGGGGGGTCCCTTTGTGCCCTCAGGCTCGGGGGGCTCATGGGGGTTCAGGGAGCTCAGAGGGTCTCGGGGGAGCTGAGGGGCTCAGGGGGGGCTGTGTGTGCTGCAGGTTCCCGACCTGCCCGTGCTGAGCCTGCCCAAGGAGCCTCTCAAGGCCCACGGCCGCCTGGAGCCCAGCGCCCGCCCGCCCTTCATCCACCACCGCGAGTCGCTCTGGAAGCGCTGCCTGAGCGCCTGGTGAGTGCCCCGCTGCCCCCAGAGAGCTCGGGCTGTCCCCAGAGAGCTCGGGCTGTCCCCAGAGAGCCGGGGCTGTCCCCAGAGAGCCGGGGCTGTCCCCCGAGAGCCGGGGCTGTCCCCAGAGAGCCGGGGCTGTCCCCAGAGAGCTCGGGCTGCCCCCAGAGAGCCGGGGCTGTCCCCAGAGAGCCGGGGCTGTCCCCAGAGAGCCCGGGCTGTCCCCCGAGAGCCCGGGCTGTCCCCCGAGAGCCGGGGCTGTCCCCCGAGAGCCGGGGCTGTCCCCAGAGAGCCCGGGCTGTCCCCAGAACGGGCCGGGCCGGGCGGTGACCGTGCTCTTGCCGCAGGCGCGACGCCGGGCTCTGTGGGCTGCTCAGGGAGCTGGCCGGCGCCGAGGAGGAGGGTGAGTTTGGGCTGCTTGAAGAGCTCGGGTCTCGCTGGGATGCTTTGGCCGGGCCCTGCTGTCCCTGCCCGTGTCCCCTGTGGCTGGCAGGGACGCTGAGGCTGCCTTTGCCCTGTGCCAGGGCTGCGGTGGCTGCGGACGGGCTCGAGCCACGCGCTGGCCGTGTGCCGCTGGCTGTCCTCGCTGCACGGCTCCCTGTTCCCTCACCTGTCCGTGAGTCATTCCCGCCTGGGGCAAGGGGAGCAGCGATTTGGGGTGGGGAGTGGTCCCTTCCCCACTAAAACCCCCCCGAAATGCTCCTCCTGGTGATGCCCAGCTCCAGACACTGCTCCTTCCTCCTCTGGGGGAAAATGGACACTGGGAAGGTGTTTGGTGCTCCAAGAGGGGCCCAAATCCAGGTGGGGGAGAGGGAGAAAGGCCTGGAACCTGGGGGTCACTGATGCCAGCTCAGTGTTCTCCTCTCCCTGCAGCTGACCAGTGAGGACATGATTGCAGCCTTCTCCCAGGCCGTGGACTGGTGAGTTCTGGGTGTCCCAAAATCACCGTGCCAGGGTCTGGGACCCTCCTGGGGTGGGAGTACAAGGACAGGATGGCCCCGTTTGGGTGGGCTCAGCCATTAAAGGCAAATATTGCCCCACTGGCTCTGGCTGCCCTGGTTTGTGTGTCCTGGTCAGGAAGAGATCAGGGTTAAAGGAGATCAGAGCCTGGAAAATTCCTTCCAATTCCAACCCCAGGCTGTGGTCACCAGCCCCTCAGCAGAGCCCTGTGAATAATCCCCAGAAACAGGGAATTTCTCAAAGAAAATGGTCCTGTTGAGCAGCAGAAAGGAAGTTTTATTTCTCTGGGGACTCTGAGAGGGGTCTTTGCCAGCCCAGGGGGTGCTGGGGGGTCTCACCCTCCCCTGTGCCCCCTCCAGGGCTGGCTGCACCGTCCGGGCCTTCGCCTGGCACCCCCACACCAACAAATTCGCTGTGGCTCTTCTGGACGATTCCATCCGTGTCTACAACTCCAGCAGGTGGGGCTTTGTCCCGGGGTGGGCGCTGCCCTGGGCCTGCTGCCCACCTGGGCACACCTGGGCTCCTGTTCAGCCCTCCCTGCTCCTTCCCTGCTCTCCCCTGAGCCTCAAGAGCTTTGTCTGTCCTTTCCCTGCCTGCTCTGTACCTCTGGGGACATCCTGGGGGTCACAAGCCCTGGGGGTGGTGACAGAGCCGGGGGGACACGGGCTGAGTGTCCTCTGTCCCCCAGGTGTCCCTGCTCCCCCAGGGAATGCCAGTCCCTGCTCAGGAGAAGACTCTGCCGGCTGCTCCTGCAGCCCCCCCAGGTGTCCCCGGGCTGGGACATCCGGCCAGCCTGGGCCCTGTCCGGACTGGGGACACCTCGGCTCGGTCACACCAGGTGTGCCCTGGCTCGCTGCGGTGTCACT